TTTGGTTCATTACTTAGGTAAGCATTCTCTGTAAGTAACAGTATGGTATAATTTACAAAGATACATGAATATATATATGTATATATATAAATCTCTATATATAATTCAATTAATGTAGAAAGTGTCTGGTTTTATTGTTGAATTGGGTCTCCAAGAAGTTTCTACCTACAGGACAGGAGAACAGTGTCGTGGATTGTAAACTTAATTCTGTTGAGTCACTTAGCAATTCACCCAAGCATGCAAAGCTGGTTAGAAACTGGGAGATTAACCTGAGTCAGATTTGCAGGAGCTCATGGAAGAAATTAAAGCATGAAGGCCTTCCTTCTTCTGCCAACATGTTCAATGGCATGAAGTGCCATCTGTCTCACCCTAAGAGACTCTGAGGCTCAGCAATTGCCTTCTTACATGACTGATGTGCTTCTGAATCAAGAGCAGGGTGAGGAGGCATTCTCAAAAAATAGTTTTTTTCTAATTTCGCTTTCTCAAAATCAAATACTTTCCCCTGAAAACCACGGATTTTCAGTTATGCAATGGCAAATATGCATTTCATTTGGGTAGCAGACACTTTCACTGTAACACTTGACCAAAAATCTAATTTGTCTTCTGCAGATGCTGGTTATTTTACTTTGATATTTTTCACCCAGCCTCTTCTCAGTTCATTCTCCTCAGGTCTTTGTGATGCAGGGAAGTTGTACTCATTGGAGTACTTTTTCTTGTTTTTTCTATACAAAAGTCAGTCCAATAATTGATAGTGATGAAGAAGAGCATCATTTTCTACATTTTTTTGGTCCTTGTGCACAACCTAGAAGTAGTTTGTGCTTATTCCCATATTTACTGTTTTGTATAAAAGTTAAATACCTCCTAAGAAAATAAGTTTGTGGGTATATTCACACTGCTGATCATGTAAAGCATAGTGTGGTGTTTCTTGAGCTAAAGCTGAAAGAGCTAGTGTCAAAATCAGGTGTAAGCAACATAAGAGGTAGGAGTCATTCGCAGTTTTAAAAGTCATGGGAAAACATCCCTGGACAAATATTCTCCAATAGATGATCCTCTGTATCTTACTGCTTTTCATGTATTCTTCATCATCTTCCTTCTTATTCAACACTAGAGTCAGCTGTTGAAATAAGGTCTTAGAGAGCAGAGGCACAATTATGGAAAGGCCATAATTGTAAAATAAAAATCAGAAGGAAATTGCAATTAAAGTGGAATGATTGTCTGGTTCACTCTGGCTTCCATTTTCTAATCATCCTAAATTATTTTAATGCATGTTTTCAAGCTCAAAATTAACAAAGGTCCCATGATGTAATTCTCCTAACACCCATTGAACATTACATTATACCAGTCCGATTTCATTCCAATCTTCTGCACATCATCTCCCACTCAGGGCATAACGCTTAGAGACCTCCTACCTGCTCTGTTTCTAGATGGTATTTTTAATACATGAAGTTTAGGAATTGTGGATTTAAACCCAGCTTCTTTTTTGAAACGGCCTAGGAATATAAGATAAAAAATAACTCTTAAAACATGTTTGTCTTTGAAATATCTTAAATTAATAATCTAAAGCTCGCATCAAGTCTAAACCAAATCAAACTCAGTCATGAAGATGAGAAACAGGAATTATTAACTGAGTAGCGAGGCTGATGGAGGCTCAATGAGATCATTTTGTTCAAAGATTAAAGGCGATGAACACTGAAATAGTTGAGGAGGATGGCTACGAACACATCTGACTAGAACTGCTAAATTCAGTAATGATCAAAAGTTAATTATCAAAGCAGAGAGAACTACTCAACACAGACAATTTGAGTCAATAGCTAAGCAGCCCAGAAAAAAGGTAATTTGGAAGAAGTATTTTCCTATAATGAAGTTTTATAAAAGACGTACATTTCAAAGAAACCTGCCTAAAACAAGATTGCATTCTTCCTGATCAGAGAAAAATAATTAGCTCTAATTGACAGACCTGCTGCACACCAAATATTTTCAGATAATATGTTTCTGCATCAAAGCTTGATGTGTAGAGTTACTTAATGTCACTTTGATTTTGCCTTCCTTTATCTTCTGCACTGGGCATGCTCATAATACTGCAACAAATACACTTTGAAAAATGAATGAGCAACACCTATAAGACAAATAAAAGCAGAAGGCCAGATCCTGCATTTTTGTCTCAGGCAGAATCCCTGACGTATTCTGTGCTGTGTTTAACATCACCACAGACCCACTCAAAGGCAAACTGAATCATTTGTAATAGGAAATGACCAGTTGCTTGATCATCCAACATTAAAATAGGATGCCATGTAGATTAACCTGAGAGTTTGAAAGATACTTTAAAGCTCTTTGTGAATGGGCATGTGTTTGAAGGACCTGTGTGTCCCTCCAACATGTGCCTTTTCTTAACAGGTAGGAAAGTGCCTTCTCTCAGTAACATAGGGATAAAATGTGGAAATTCTTCATGTAAAAATCTAAGGAAAAATATGTGGTAGAATCTTCGTGGCCCAAGATAATAACATACATCTGTCATTCATCTGAAAGCTACCACATTTCTTTCAGGATAAACAGTTGCCATCAGCGTAGCTAAGTATTCAAAAAAGCAAACATCCAGTTTAGACTCTGCTCTTTAGTATTCTATGACTTTGACATTGTCAGTTCTCACTCCCTGAAATATCTCTGAAATTCCTCTTCTTTAATCTTTCATGTAAACAGTTTAGCTCACACCATCATGCACATGCTTTCCAGAATATCTTCTGCTATGCTTTGTATTAGAATTGACTGCATTATTATTTACTTGTGATCCTAGATACTCTCCACTCTTCTGTTCTCTTTTCTTTATCTGTATTTTGATACCAGGTTTTGTGTAGTGATTTTTGAATAATTCAGGGGGAAAAACCTGATTTAGATGCAAGCTTCACATGCTTGAACTCAGAATTGTAATCGTCCAGCTATTTGGTATATAAAAGGGTCAAGCAAAATACCATTGTAGAGTCCAAAAAACCCTCTGCCATTGTGGAAGGCTCTTTATGAGCTTTAAAAATAATCTTAGTTCCCTGCAGGATGGGACTGAAATTGGCATTTAGTGGGAGGCTTGGGAAACTGAAATGCCATTTTTGATGGTGTTTTAATCCATTTTAAATGAAGCATTTGTGTGTTGTTACATGTGTTTTATTACTCAGAAAGATGTCTTAATAACATGCTTCTGACTCTGCGTTTGCACGCCTGAAAAAGGGAGACTTGGGATAGTGTCGTTGGAAAGAGGCGCAACTCACATTATCTCACTAATGAGGCAGGGATCCCATTTCATCATAGGCTTGTTTGAGAGCACATAATTAGGTTTGGGTCTGTAACACTTACTTGTGCAATTTTAAATTTAGCATTTCCTGAGGTTTAAGTGTTTTATTTAGCAACCCTACTGTACAATTAATATAATTGTTTCCTATCATTCATTGAGTTATTCTTTAGATGAAAAATACAATCCAAATGAAAAAATCCATGGTTTATGTGCACACTGGGAGCCAGCCCAGAGGATTGCTGTTGCCCCACCTCAGCTCTCAAAAGCTCTAACTCCTTCTCCCATATTTTAAACTCATTATTGGGGATTTCCATGGATTTAGACACAGATTTTATCTTTGCTATGATTGGAGGCAAAACTGCCAAAACAGCAGGTATTTTAAAAACTAGCCCTGTTGTAGAGTCCAAAGGAAAACTCATTCTGGCAAAATTTGGAACCCAGCTGTGCAGGTCCCAGACGTTTCAAAAGTTAGTTGGTTTTCATAAAGGATTTAATTCCTCAAAGGCAACATGAGCATTTTTCAGGACCACTAATATTAGCAGTTCCTATGTGGGAACCTTTTTATTCCCATCCTTATGCATAGCAGAGGTTAAAGTTCCTCAGCAACCCCCTTCTCAATTTTGGTAGGCTTTATAAAAATATCTCTGAATGTAATTAAGCACTAGAACTTCCCTTACTGTAATAGGTTTATGGATCAGTTGTCTTAATTCTGCCTTTCACCGCTATGTGTGCCTGTAATCTCACTAGCCATCTGACCGCTTTCCATGTTTAAATCTATTACAGTCTGATTCTAGCAAATGCTAGGATGAGTTCTGTGAAACGATACAGCCATCCTAGTTTATCCAAAAGTGATATTTCAATCCTTCTTGCGTTAAAACATCATTTACCTGTTCTGGAAAAAATCAGGGGTGGGATGCAAGGTTGGTTCAGATTACATAATTGTACCACAGAAGCATTAATAAAGCATAAAACCTCCACTAAAATCTCAAGCAGCTTAACCAGTGTGATAGACTGGCGCGGCTCTGCCATCTCTGCCCCCAGCTGTGTTGCTTAGCAACATTTTAATTCAAGAAGAATCGAAGGAGATGAAATCCCCGTGGAGAGGGAAACAGAAATAAGAGGGCCGTTGACAGATGATCTGAGTTGTTTCTTCTAATATACTGTGAAGATCACTGGCTCTTTTCATGAATGATAAATGGACTGTACACAGATCAATGGGTTCAGCAATAAACTGGAACCAGGCTCCATGTCTGAGGTGGTGCAGGCCGAGAGGCCCGAAGATTTACTCATTTAGATGATTTGGAGTGTGTTTTCTCAAAGGTTTCACAAGAGGAAATTGATCTGAACATTTGGTCATCCCTTGCCCTTTCCTGTTGCTGGTGAATAAAAACTCTTTTGGAGATGGAGTCTGTTCTTCCCATTATTTTTTCCCGTTGTTCCAGATATGGACAGATAGCTTGTGACAAAGGGACCAGACCTCAGAATGGGAAATGAAGTCATCTCCCCGAATGAGCAGTTCCTAAACACTTGTGGCCATTAAAAATAAACCGTGCTGATACCGCAGACTGGGGCAGAAGTGTTCAAAACCTCTAGAGCTGTATCCCTGAAGAGTGACGTGTGCGCTCCGAAGAGCATCGCGGGTTGATGTTTGCTTGCGGCTTGGTTGTGCTTTGGTGTGTTGCCTAACTGTTTGTTTCTCCCACCCCTCTTCTGTTTACAGGCTGCTGAAAAGACAAAATTGAGAAATATTCCTGTAAAGTAAGTTCTTTTTCTATCCGTTTGAACATGCTAGTTTAACCAAGTTACTGTATACAGTCACTAAAAGGACTAGGACAGCAAGAAGGGCGATGAAAGAGATAATAGAATTCAAGTTGCCCCTAATCATAGTTGCCCCTAATCATAGCTATAAAAAGGTCAGTATCACTGAGGAAAGCTTTCGATTTCTCATGTGTCCCTAATGATTGCACTCCCCAAGTTTCATCCAGTTTCCATAAATTAATGTGTTGTCTATGAATAGCTGCCAAATAATATCACAGTCATACTCAATACATAGTGCTCCTAGCCTTGGGGATGTTTGTACATGCTAAAAAGATTATGATTTTTAATTGCAATCCTTGAGAAGGTCTGACAGAGGGGAAATAACTAGGAACGTGCCAAATGATTTCTAGACACATGGGAATATTTTGCACCTATGTATCAAGGCTTTGCCATCCTGTTGATTAAGAGCTCTTTCTCACTCTGTGTGTGCATCTCTCATACCATACACACACGTATGTTTCTGCTCTTTATGGGAGGGCTGTGTGAAGGATGAGCAAGCTACTAGGGAGCAATTTCAAGGGCATTTTATGAGAAGTTCTTAAATCTTAGGGCACTAGCGGCAACACTCAACCATATATCATTGAATTAAGAAAGTTGCTATATAGATGTCCTGGCTCTTTGAGAAAAGCCATTTTCAGTTAAAGCTACCAACAATCAGTGATTCAGTTTAAATAATGAATACTCTGGTCTTAATGGGCTCTTATGTACCAATAAAACACATATTTTTAGCTTCAGTAGGAGGTGATCATTGCCGTTTAACTAAAGTCCCAGTAACTGTATATTCCTGTTATAGACAGGGGAAATGTTTTTATTTTTATAGTAGTTTGCTGATCATGCTGGCTTTTGGGCTGGGGTGGTATTGTATTTGTAAGAACATGCACTGACAGGACTCACAAATCATTATGGTTTAGCACACATAACAATAGAATACAGTTCTACTTCTCACTTGGCTTCCATCATGTATAGACATTTACACCTTATAAAGTGAATGCAAAATGAGTATGAGCACTTGTTGGAGTGATTAGGAAAGATGCAAGGTAGTCATAAATCACTCTTTCTTTATGTTTCATTCAATCTGATAAAAATTAGAAATAGGATCCAGCAGGGACCTGATAGCACATGAAACTTCTGATAAGACAAGGGACCTCTCTCACCTGTAGGGCTAGTTCAGATTCAGTGCAAGCTGAATTAAGTCATTGTTAGTTGTTGGTTGTTTAAGAGAAAGTGTGAGCTGTTTTCACCTCACATTCTAGGGAACCCAGGAGTTGCAAGGTGCTGAGAGTCCTGCGGAACAAATCCAAAATAATTATTTATCATTCATTCACTTTTGTTCAATATTTTGAGTCAAATTCTCAGAAATAGCTCAACTGAATTGCATTTTCCCACATATAACAGAGATACTCAGCCTTGCAGTAATTAAGCAGTGTGTATGTAACACTGATACCAAGTTAATACACCGGAATGATTTGGGAGTTCGGGCAGAAGGGTGATTTAGGTTAAATCATTCCTTTGCGGGACTTGAGTAACTGTAACATTTTGGAATGGAAGAAGGCCAGATGGACGGTCTCGCTCGTTCCACCTACATGTGCATATGTAGGTGTCATATTTCCCCCAACTGGTTGTTTAACTTCTCTTTGACTATGTTCGTGGTGGCAGCTTCAATTAGTACCTTAGGGAATCCATTATACATATTAATTACACTCTGCATAACAAAACAGCAGAAAAATCTGCCTAGTATTTTTCAGTGACATGTCACTATTTAAGGTACCTGTACACAGTTATGATTGTGTACTAAAATACTGCCTCTCAGGGCAAAAGTAAGAATAGTGTCTGTAAGATAGCCACAGTAGATACGGATTGCATTTATATAAGTGTCACAGCCACACTTAGTACAGCTCAGTCTTGTCTAGCTTTTACTCGTTGCTTTTGCAGCTCTCAAATGTCAAAGAGAATTTCACTTGAATTTTAATGTTCTTCAGCAATGCAAAATAAAGTTAGTAGCTTCCATTGTCATAAGGGCTGAAAGCTGTACAGATTCCTTCTACCATATGTGACTTATCACATACATTTTTAAAAACACATTTCTGTTATTAAGACATATGTGATAGTACACTTCTGCAAATGTGAATTGCTTTTGGCTAAAAGCCATGCACTAATAAGTTGAGTTGAATCTAACTGCATTTGACATCTGTTACAATATATTTTTTTACATATGTAAGTATATACAAAATATTCGCAGTTGTCATTAGCATAAAAAATTCCCTTGTTTTTACGTTGTGCTGACATAGTTCTTGTGTCCCAAAACTAGAATCAGAAATCTCTCCCTTTTAAAGACTATGGTTTCTGTGGAGTCCTTGGACAGAGCCTAATATTAGTTTAGGGGCATGGCAAAGATTTCGGAAGTGGTCTATTTACTTTTCATTGGACAGTTTATTAATGTTGGTGATTCAATGTTTGGGCAGAAGTTTAGTATTTTTTGTTCTGTTGAATCCCTGCAGCCCTTAACACTAATGGAGGGGAAAAAACCATGGAAGTTTCCTTACTACAATTCAGTAGGGCAGCCGAGCTGCATGTTTCTTGATGTTCAAGTGTCTACAGGTGCTTAGACTACCTGGTGTGAACTTCCTGAAGGCCAAGGTGGATGCAGGTGCATTTGGCTCCTTCAGAAGGCTTGGTCTCAATTGCATGTTGTTTGTAGCACTGCAAGACACTACACATCCATAGGAACTCATTTTTATGTATTGGTAGCATCATCTGACATGATATTATTACAAATAAGCACATGGAAAATGGGTAAGAAGTGTCTGTGTCTGCTGAACTGGTTTCTTTTCTGAGGGGGAGGTGAAAGAGAGGGGTGGAAATAGTGCAGGTACTTTTTCAAAAACGTTAAGACCTTTTTCTGTCTGTATGTGGCACCAAGGTGGCCCCATAACTGCAGAATCCAGGACATTTAACTCATTTATCTTCTCCTGCCCTTGCTTTCTCCCATTGGTTTTATCTGTATTTACATTGAGAGTCTGTAGTAGAAAAGGGATTTCCTGGATGCAGAGTCCTAGATACTTTCCTTATCACTTGCTGGTCCTTATCATACTGTTCCTGCCCCTGAGTCTTGAAGGAGGTGACATGACTTGAACAGTTTTGCTCTCTGGAGGGTTTATGATTTCTAAAGAGCTGTTACATGAGAAATTATTTCAAATTAGGACACATCTGAGGAAGTAATCTATATACCCTGTGATTTGATGGAAGAGGGGGAGAACAGTAATACCGTTAAAAGTCATGTTGGGATTTAAGCCCAGCTGGTAACCAAGAACCACGCAGCCGCTCGCTCGCTCACCGCCTTCTTCCCCACCCCGCTCCTGGAGGGATGGGGAGGAGAATCGGAGGAATGTAACTCCCACAGGTTGAGATAAGAGCAGTTCAGTAACTAAGGTATAATACAAACCACTGCTGCTACCACCAATAATAATAATGATGATAAGGGAAATAACAAGGGAAAAGGACACAACCGCTCACCACCCGCCGACCGATACCCAGCCCGACCCGAGCAGCGATCTGGGCCTTCCGGGTAACTCCCCCCAGTTTCTATACTGGGCATGACGTGCTGTGGTATGGAATACCCCTTTGGGCAGTTTGGGTCAGGTGTCCTGTCTCTGCTTCCTCTTGGCTTCCCCTCCTCCCTGGCAAAGCATGAGACTGAGAAAGTCCTTGGTCAGAGTAAACATTACTGAGCAACAACTAAAAACATCGGTGTTATCAGCGTCGTTCCCAGGCTGAAAGTCACAAACACAGCACTGCACCAGCTACTAAGAAGGAGAAAAATAACTGTTATAGCTGAACTCAGGACAAGTCAATAGCAGCATTGTTCTGAACCCAACTGATATCGCTCTTCCTATATTTTTTTCCCCAGGCTTTTGTAGGCAATAGAAGCCCACTTCAGCATAGAGCCTAGAGGGATCATGTTCACACTGGCTTTACCCACATCACTTCTATCTGCTGGGTTGAGCTGCAGGATCCTCTCATATCCAGTCACAGTCAGGGTTAGGCCTCATGCTCAAGTACCAAGTACACTTGGCTTGGCAGCCTGTACATTAACATAGAGTAAGGGTCATCACATGGCATTGAGCACCATAGTATGTGAAAAAATACTGCCTTTTGTTTGTTTTTTCTTACATACTCACTGGAATCCACATAAGTAGTTACTCTTACAGTTATTCTTACACAAAAGAGCAAGTGATTACTCACCATTCTTCATCCCTGAAGAACAAATGGACCAAGGAGTCTCCGTACTCAAATGCTACTCATAATGTGGTTTTTCCTTTAAGTGTGTGAGCCAAGGCAAGTCTCTGCAATTGGAACAGGAAGGCTGTGTGTCTACTAGTCATGCAGAGACAGTAGATAGGAATATTAACTGATTTCTTTTCACTATGTTCCATGTTAAAGAGGTGAGTTCTTTGCATGGCAGTGCCAAGATGGGATATAATGTCTCTCTAAATAAATGCCTCAGATTACAGTCTTTTAGGAAAATGGCCACATGGATACCTTGGGAAAATGTGGGCAGGTTAAAGAACACTTCAGCTAAAACCTGATGTCATCCAACACTACAAAACAGTTTTTCTTTTTTTTTTTTTTTGAAGAAAGAAGTTAGATTTTTAAAATTGAAAATGAATGCAGTTAAGAGTGGTCCATGTAGTCCATGAACTGCTGTAGAACTATGAGAATAATGAAATTGACTTGTTGCTTCAGGGAATAAAACATTGCCTTCCTTAGTGTCCTTTATACTCACTTCTTTTATAGTCCCTTTAAAAATCTTCAATAGAAAGCAGTGGCATTTTCCCCAAACACCTGCATATGCTTAGATTTGCTGTAGATTTAATGACTTCCAGATACATGTTTGGGGATTACAGCTTGTGTTAAAATCCCGCTGCTTTTTATATTTTCAA